GAGCAGCAGATGACTCCTCAGGGGGGTCGGGGCGGGACCCGGGGCGGCTGCCGCCGAAGCCGAAATCGGTTGGGACATCCTCGCAAAATCGCTCCTCCCAGAACTCCATTCCCGGGCAAAATTTTGAATGCCCGGAGCCAACTGTAGGCCACTTCGTGCTCTTCGACTTCCCAGAACTCCATTCCTGGGCCACATTTTGGATGCCCGGAGCCAATTGTAGGCCACTTCGTGGTCTTCGAGTTCCCAGAACTCTATTCCCAGGCCACATTTTGGATGCCCGGAGCCAACTGTAGGCCACTTCGTGGTCTTCGAGTTCCCAGAACTCCATTCCTGGGCATGATTTTGAATGCCCGGAGTCAGCTGTAGGGCACTTCGTGGTCTTCGAGTTCCCAGAACTCCATTCCCGGGCCACATTTTGAATGCTGAGGCAGGCTGATGCTGAGGCTGAGGCAGGCTGAGGATGAGGCAGGCTGCTGAGGTTGAGGCCGAGGCTGAAGGCAGACTGAGGCTGAGGCTGAAGCAGGCTGAGGCTGAGGCTGAGGCAGGCTGAGGCTGAGGCTGAGGCAGGCTGAGGCTGAGGCAGCCTGAGGCTGACGCCGAGGCTGAAGGCAGACTGAGGCTGAGGCTGAAGCAGGCTGAGGCTGAGGCTGAAGCAGGCTGAGGCTGAGGCAGGCTGAGGCTGAGGCTGAGGCAGGCTGAGGCTGAGGCTGTGACTGTGACTGCCGTCGCCACTGCGACTGTCATCGCGAATGCGATTACGACTGCGAGAACATCAGAACTCTACATCTGGATTCTCATCTGGATCTTAAGGGGAATGCTTCCAGATATGCTCCTACACATCGCTGTTAGGTTGCTTTGCCGGGATAATTTGTTCCATGCCGCTGGATCTCTGGGGGGTTGTTGCTTCGCCCGTTCATTTTTCCGCGCGTCGCCGGTGGCTGCTGCCCTGCGCCCGACTCTTGCGTTCGACCCCTTGGGCGGCGCGCAGCCATCTGCGTCGCTCGCGAGCGAGAAATTTCTGGGGGGCGTCTCCGCCCCGCGGGCGCGAGGCCGCCCGCGCCGTGGATGGTCGCGGCGCTGGTGGCGCAGTGGGCGGCCCCTTCGGGCGGGTCGCAGGCGGCGCTGCCGCGGTGGCCCTGCGCGTCGCGCGCCGCCTCGGGCCTGCGGGGGCCTTCGTCGGCGACTTCGAGCGCGCGGGCGGCCGGCGCGCGGGGCCGTCGTTGCCGACTTCGCCCCTCGCGGCGATCAGCCTGCGCCCCGAGGAGAGGGGGCAGATGTCCAAGACCGCGGCGACGCACGAGAACCCGCTGATCGACCGCCCGGAGAGGCTGCGCGTCAGACGGGCGGTGATGCAGGCCGTGAGTATCACGGTCGGACATCGCGTCTCCCCGCTCACGATGACGCGCCTCTACGCCCTCTTCCTGCCCGCCCAGCTGCACTTGGGGGGGTTGCCGCCCCCGTGTTCTACCGGCGGGGGCGCGGCGGCCCGAGGGGCGACGTGAGGGCCTCCCTGGAGGTGGAGCAGCGGGGCCGCTTGCGCGCCGACGGCTCGATGAAGCGCTGCGAGGCGGCCGCCCGTTTGCAGCGCGAGTGCGCCCGGCTTCCTCGACGGGCCAGTGTTCAGGCGGCCGCCTTGGCATCGCTCGGACGCGCGCGCTTTTCTTCGGCGGGGACTATCAAGGAGCATCCCGGATCACCCTGCGAAAAACCACGCACGACACCGAGCAACACAGAGGGAATGGACGTCCGAGCGATGGCCAGTCGCGGCGACATCAACGCTGTTTACCACCCTTGCGACGTCGCCGATCCGCCTCGGTGCAGCGGCGGGGGGCGCGGTCGACGCGCCGAGGTCCTCGCCGGCCCTCGCGACCGCTCGCGCGAGCAGGCGCGGCGGGGCTTCGGGGTCGACGCATTCGACGTTGCCCGCGCCGCCAACCATCAGGAGCGAACGAAAACACACAGACACAAGTAATCGTCGATCCCCCAGAAAATGCGGGAAAGCATGGGAAGTGGGGGGGAGACAAACACCCTGGAACTATGGGAAAATATTCGGAATCCTGCTGCTTTTGTGCACTTTGTTGTGTGTCCCACGGCCCCATTCGAACCAGGACCTCCTCAGGCCTGACACGACCCCCTCGCTCTCGCTTGCTCTGGCGCCTGCCGTCTCGTTTGGCTCGAGGTGCTGGTCTGGAGCCCACGGGGGAGGGGGACGCCCGCCTCTTGGGGTTCGGGGCCGAGGCTACTCGGTGATAAAGACTAGCAGAAGGTCCGCCTACGCTAAGTCGGGCGTGTCCATCTACAGGAGGAATATTCAAAAATTGTGAAAAATATTCGGGGGCGATATTTTTGATATGTTTGAGTACTTGGGGTGCGTTTTTTTTGTTTTCGTGTGTTCGTCGACAACCCCCCTGTTGGGGGACACGCCCGAGTTAAGGCCAGGGCTACTCGGTGATAGAGACTCGCAGAAGGTCCGCTTAGGCAGCGCTCCGATGCGGGCCGCGGCGGCTTTCCTGCGTGCTGGTATCGTGACAAGAGTTCGGGTGACCATTGAGACCCCGATGACCGATGACCTCACGAATCGGGCTAACGAAACTCCCGAGTGCATTCAGGCGGGCGGGGGCCGAAAGTTCAGCCGCCTGTTTTTGCCAGTGCGGCACCCGCTCGCAGAAGAGTGCGTCTTTGCTCGCTTTCGGTTGCCCAGAGAATTCCAATGTCAAGAAGGCTTGCATGGCGCGAGGCCGCTTGCTCTGCCGCGAATGAGAAGCACGAGCCGCTCGCGGGGAAGGCTGCTGTTGGGAAGTTCAAGATTCTTCGCGTACCCATCGGTCTTTGAAGGTAGGTCTTTCTCTGAGACCAAGCTTCCAATCTACTTTAGGCGCCTTCCTACTTGAATGATCGAGTGGCCTCACCTTTTCCGTCCTCTTTAGGGGCGGGCGGACACCCGATCTATTTTCAACGTTTTCTTATTTCATGTTTCTACCTACTTCCGACCGGTGGGCATCCCCACCAGCCCATCCCGACATTGTGCCAGGCGAGTTGAAGCGTTGTTGTGAGAGGTTCTCGGGGGTCTCTTGGAGACATGTTGGTGCTCTATTGAGGTCCTGTTGGAGCCCTCTTGGGCCCCTCTTTGGTTCCTTTTGGGGCCATCTTTGGGCCCTTTGGGCCTATCTGAGAGGTCTCGTGGGGCCGTCTTGTCCCCGCTAGCTCAGCAAGAGGAGGGTCCTCAATTCGGGTCCCCCCATCGGGGGCCTTCTTGGGGCGCTCTTGGGGTGCTCTTGGGCGCGCTTGGGGCCCTCTTGGGGCCCTCTTGGGCCCATCTTGGGGCTCTCTTGGGCTGTCTTGTGGCAATTTTGAAGCGTCGGAAGCCCATCAGCAGCGAAACGGCGAAAACGCCAAACAATTCGATTCTCCAAGGTTGTGGAAACATTTGTTTGGCCTCGTGGGAGGGTCCTTGGAAGGCCGAGAGGACACTTGAAACCGATGTATGTGGGAGGCTATCTTGCACCATCTTCAGCTATCTTGAGCCATATGGGATGCCATCTTGGGCTCTCAGGCCCTCTTGGAGCCATCTTGGTCCATCTTGGGTGCTGTAATGCCTCGCGGTCCCCCCCTTCCCAGGCCCTGGGTAGGGGGTGGGGGGAGGGACAAGCCCCTCCCACGAGCAGGGGAAGGAGGGGTTGTAGAAAAAGAGAGAAGACTAATCTCTTCAAACCACCCACGCCCAGAGGTCGGGTGGGATTCAAGACTCTGCTGGCGCTGCCGCATCCCCAGCTGCTTGGTCGAACGCGCCTGTGATCTTTTATGTTCGAGGCCCGCGGTCAGCACCAAGGATTGACACTCGGGGTCCTGCGCTGTCCTTCGGCACCTTCGACCTGTATCTCCCGTCGCCTGGCCTCGCTCTCAGGTCCGCGGTGCTCACGGATGCAGTTCGGACCCGTGCCAAGAGACTCCCCGCTTGCCTCCAGGGTGCCCTGGGTTTCTTGGGTCTCGATGGTGTTGCTGTGGAGGGTGTGTCGCTCCCACACGAAAAGTCAATGGACATCCTGGGGTCTCAGGGTTGGGTTTCTTGTAGAAGGTTTCTTGTGGTTTGGCCTCCACTGCACCTCCTGTCGGCCGCCGACCCCGCTCTCAGGCCTACTGTGCTCTTGGATATGTGCGTTTTTTTTTCTGACGGTGAGACGATAGCCGGGCCACATGGATGCGGTTGCTCGGGAACGTTGTTTGCGGAGGGGGAGCTTCGCCGTCTGCATCCATCGCCCCACTGCCACGAAGGCTCAGGGTTTTTGGGAATCCTCAAGCCTACCCCTGTTTCGCCCACATGCTCAAAGGGTGGGGGATCCTGACTTGATGTTCGATGCCTTCGAGCTGTGTCTCCTGTCGGCCGCCCCCGCTTCCAGGCCTTGGCTCACCGCTATGTATGTCTTCTCTGGCGGTGAGACATGGGCAGAGCTACGTGTTGATGTATGCAGTTTTCCATACCTTCATACCCATCATAAAGTCCGTAAGAAAAAAACGCTTGCATGTGGCCAAGGTTTCGCTTCCAAGTGAAATGAGCTTGGACTGGACCTTGGGCATTCTCTGATTGTTGCTTCCACTTCTCGGAATGCCCGTGCACCTGGACTCGGCGCACTGCTTCAGAAACCGCGCCGCTTCGATAGGCCTACCCTGCTGGGAACTCTGAGCTCCGGTCAACCGGAGCCTGCTCCGCGCAGCCTGGTTCGGGGCCTAAGAGACGGGGTCAGTGCAAACGGGGGTCAGTGTAAACGGGGGTCAGCCAGGGCGCCGGATCCTGCAGGATCCTGCGAAGACCCCCTCTGGCTGACCCGGGTTTGCGAAGACCTGCGTTGCAGTTTTCTCTTCCTGCATTGCGGTTTCTTGGTTTCCTGCTGACCCGGGTCTGGATTGACCCGGGTCAGAAGATCCCCGAAGCCTGGTGCCCCCCCGCGACGGGGCGGCGGAGCTCCAGATCTGCCTCGCCCGCGTCGCCCCCGCGCGCGAAGGCGGGCCACAGGCACCTGGAGGACCTCAGCTGCGGGCCCTACGACGTCGAGCGCGACTGGGAGGGGGCGGGGGAGGGGGTGGCGCGGCGCGACTGGGAAGGGGCGGGGGGAGGGGGGGCGCAAGCCTTACGTCGGGCCCGTCCCTCTGCAGGGGGAATATTCAAAACCAGTCCATAAAAATGTAGTCCAGGGGCTTTTTTTTTTGAGTATCTTTTGACCATCTGGGAGCATGTTTGGAGCATGTTTTCATTTGTTGCTGAAGATCCCCCTGTAGGGTGACACGCCCGACTGAACGCAAGCCTGAGTTGGGTGGAGAAGACGGTGCCGATCACGCTAGTTTTCACTAGTAGTTCGCCTCTTTGGGCCTCCTGGGAGGCCTTCGTCGCCACGGCTGGATTCGCCTCGTAAGTCTGGTCCGACCGCACCCCGGGCGAGAAGTGGGGAGTGGCGATGTGGGTACCTTCCGACCTCCCCAGAGATGCGCCTGCTTCTTGTCGGCGGCGCGTCTATGGAAGGGGCAAGAGCGAGTGGGCAGGCCTTCCAGAGAACGCGGCGGGGCTCGGGAGAAGCCCTTTCGGCCATCTGAAAAATCCCCATGTACAGTCGACGCACTGAGGACGCGCGTCTTCATCTAGGGTACCCTTGTGTCCTTGCCTCGGCGCCCCGTCCTTTGCCGTTTTCACTGGCCGCCCGCCGCCAGACGAATCCCAGCTTCGGCGTCCAAGGGTTTTGCGTCCTTACCACCCGTCCTTGATACAGTCGGGGCCCTGAAGAAGGAATCCTTTTCGTTGGGGAGGGGCTCCGCGTTCCTTAAGTGTTTCGCAGCTTGCCTCAGGTTTTCCTTATGTTTTCGACAGGAAATCGAAGATTAACCACTCATGGAAAAAAGGGGCCTCGTTCCTTATCTAGGGTTCCTTATAGGTCAACGCCCCGACTGTACACGCTTGGGTCGTGGCTTCGGGGATGGCTGGGAGGGCCTCTCAGAAGGCCGGAGGCCCCGGTGAGCCTTCTCGGAGTGCCCGCCCCCTCTGCCCCCCGGTGCGCTCCCCCGCGGGCGCGCCGCCGAGTGGGACCACGCCGGGAGAGAGGCTGCGGAGGGGGGGATGGGCAGGAGGAGCAGCAGGGAGGGAGGAAGGCAAGGCATCCTAGATGGGGTTGGAGTAGATGGGGTCGGAGGAGAGCGCCGCATCGCCGATGCATCGTCGATACGGCTCGATGCGCAGCCCGATTTGCTTCACGTCGACGTCGCCGATGCATCGGCGACGTCGACGATGCATCGCCGGTGCATCGCCGATGCATCGCCGATGCATCGCCGATGTATCGCCGATGTATCGCCGATGCGTCGCGATCCTCCGACCCCATCTGCTCCGACCCCATCCAGGAGGCCTCTAGGAAGGCGAGGCGAGACGCGTCCCGGCAGGCTCGAGCTCAAGGAAAGTGCATGGTGGACGGACTCGTGCGCGCAGAACGCAGGACGCGCAGTGCAAGGCGCACACGGGATGGAACGCGCAGGACCAGAGCACTGTAGCGAAGTCCACTTCGCAGAGATATCCGAGATGTACTCGGGACGGGGGATACCCTCGTGCCCACAGGGTTCGCTCTGGTTCTACCGAGCTACACCTGATGTATTGACGGTTCGGATGTTGGCGGATAGTATTGCGTTGAGAGTTTCGCGAGTGGTGTGTGGAGCGTGTACTGCTTATGTGGGCCCGCGCGGGTGGCTGACATGCATGGATCGAAGTTGCACGGGTAGCGCAAGACAAATTCGAGGGTCCAAAGGGACTGCTGCATGCCAGTTTCGTTACATCCGCTTGTTTCGCACTCAATGCTTGCAGTCTTGGCGCGCATGACACCGAGCAGTTGGGACAATTCAGTTCCCGCCTGTCCAGTGGTTTCCCATGCTGTATATGTTAGGTTGTATAAAGATTCGTATGCAACACACTCCCCAAGCAGTGCTTGCATTTAGAGATTCTCATTTGTTCCTAAGGAGCTGGGCCTGTGCGGTCCGGTCTGGCGGCTATGTTGTCACCGTCGCCGTCTCGTCGCCGCCCATCATTTTGGCCTGTGCGTCGGTGTGTCGCCGTCGCCGCCCCGTCACCACCGTCGCCGCTCATCGCCGCCGTTAGATTGCACCACCATGCTTAAATCGCCTTTCTTGGCGTTGTTTTGCGTTGCCTTGCATTGCTCTGCATTGCTTCGCATTGCTTTGCCCTACGTTGTGTTGCCTTTTTATCGCATTGCCTTGCATTGCATGCGTTGCCTTGCTGTGTCTTGCTTTGCGCTGCTCTGCATGGCATATTGTTTTGCATTGCGTTGGTTTATATCGCATTCCTTTGTGTTGCGTTGCATAGTGTTGCGTTCGCATTGCCTTAAATTACTTCTGGATTGTCTTACGTTCCTTTGTGTTGCTTTGCATGACTTTGCTTCGCATTGTCTGCACACGTAGATTTGCGCAGCAGGGGTTGTACTGCATGTATTCTCCTTTCTAAACAAAGAATAGACTCTACCCCCCCCCGGAGTTAACGATCCCCCCTGGGGTATTGGGATTTTATATTTATTCTGCACACTCGTCCATCCTACCTGTGATTTCATATTAGCCCAGCCAAACCAGTATCGACCCCCCCCGCCATCCTCTACAAAAAATACGATGCGCGCTTTCTTCATCACAAGCAAGCAAATCGCAATCATACCTTGCAACAAATACCACAGTCATCGCGCGCCCATCCATGTCAAAATCGTACCAAACACAGTGTGGTTGCAAGCATTTCAGCATAAACACCTAAAAACCCCAAGGGTTTTGAACACACAATTGTTGTAAATGTCTTGTCCCCGCGCTCATGTCAAAATCAGACACAGAACCATGGGATTCTAACTAATTCTGCAAAATCTAACGATTTCGTGTCACCGCGCGGTGCATCCATCCGTGATATTATCGTCATGCGCCGAGGGCGCGAATCCATTGCACCAAATACCACGCGGGCCACATGCGCGCACCGCCGCGCGCGCATAATCAGTCTGACGGATTTGTTGAACTCCCGCGTGCGTGGATTTCCTTTTCAACCTTGTCAGCATCACCGCGATCACCTGCCTCATCGACAGATGGACATCAGCATCGTCAACGTGTTTGCCATCATTGGCGCCGTTATCGTTCATGCCGCCGCCCTCTTGAACATCGCCGTCGCTGGTGCCATCGTCATTGCCGCAGACGTTGCCGACGTCACCTTGCAATGGCGCGCGTCCGGGTATCGTCGATACGTTCACCTTTATCATCGACTCACGGTGACGAGCGTCGGCAGTGAGGATGTTACCATCGATGTCGTCATCGGTGGCGCCGCCGCCCCCCGCATCATGAGTTTCGCCAGACAAGTTGCGGGTGGGGTGGTGGGATGTTTGCGCGAGCAGTGGAGACGACGACTTCAAGTCCAGCAGAGTGGATTCTCCTTTCTAAAAAGAGAAGTGGTGCAGACTATCGTATGCGGTGCGATTTGGCGTCGCGTGTGTGGCGCAAGCTGTGTGTTGCAAGCTATGTGGTGCAAAATAGACTCTACCCCCCCCCCCCCCCCCGGACTTAACACTTCCCCCCGGGATGGTATAATTTTATGTGTATATATATACACATTTTCTGCACTTTCGTCCATCCTAAATATGAAATCATACCATCCCAGGCAGGCCGGCTTCCCCCCCCTGAGGTTCCCTTGTAAAAAAACATTATGCGGTGACATGTGTTCTTCTAACGTAGCACTTTTTTCGCGAATCCCTTGCAACAAATGAAAAGAAGTGCACACGCGCGCGTCGTCGCGCGCGCATGCCGAACCCCCTCAAAAACCTTCGGTGCCCGCAGGATTTCGCAATCGAGTTTCCAAGAACATGCAAAAACACATGGTTTCGCAACACTGGTTTGCTAAAAAAGCTTCCGCGCGAGCTCTTGCGGATTCTTAAGAAAACCATCGGTTTTTCAAGATTTTCATAAAATGCTGCCAAACGGGCTTCGCGAAAGGAAAGAATCTGTCGAACGCCCTTGCGCGTGTGCCGTCGCGAGAGTCCTCTGCAAAAAATACGACGAAGTGCAGACGCGCGCGTGGTCGCGCACGCACGCCGAAATCCTTCAAAACCCATCTATTTCGAAAGGTTTCGAAATCGCGCGTCCAAAAAATTTACAAACACTCAAGGTTTCGCAACACGGATTTTCAACAAAAGCGTGCGCGCGCGCTCTTGCGTCGTCGTCGTCGTCGTCGTCGCCGTCCTCCCTCCTCCCGCGTCGTTGTCGTCGTCGCCGTCGCCTACGTCGTCCTCTGTCATTCCTCGTGTTCGTCGTCGTCGTCCATTTGGCGTCGTGGTCGTTTCCGTCGTCGTTGTCGCCGTGGTCGTCCTTCCTCCTCCTCCCTCGTCGTCGTCGTCGTCCGTCGTCGGCGTCTCGTCGTCGTCCCTCATATTTCGTCGCCGTCGTCGCCGTCGTTGTCGTCGTCGTCGTCTTCCCTCCTCCCTCGTCGTTGCCGTCTTCGGCGTCGCCGTCCTTCCTCCTTCTTCGTCGTTCGCGTCGTCGCCGTCCTCCCTCCGTCGTCGTTGTCGTCGTTGTCGCCGTTGTCGCCGTCGTCGTCCTCCCTCCTCCCTCGTCGTCGTCTTCGTTGGCGACGTCGTCGTTTTCTTCGTCGTCGGCGTCGGCGTCGGCGTCGTCGTCGTCTTCGTCGTCGTTGTCGGCGTCGTCGGCGTCGCCGCCGTCGTCGTCGTCGTCGTCGTCGTCGTCGTCGGCGTCGTTGACGTCGTCGTCGTCGGCGTCGTCGTTGTCGTCGTCGTCGGCGTCGTCATCGTTGTCGTCGTTGTCATCGTCGTCGTCGTCGTGTGCGTCGGCGTCGTCGTCGTCGTCGGTGTCGTCGTCGTCGTCGTCGTCGTTGTCGGCGTCGTCGAAGTCGTTGGAGACGTCGTCGGTGTCGTCGTAGTCGTTGTCGGCGGCGTCGTCGTCGTCGTTGTCGCTGTCGTCGTCGGCGTCGCTGTCGTTGGCAAGTGCGATGTGGTACCCACCGTCACGGTCTTAAGAGATTTTGCGAACCAAATTGCGGGTGGGTGGGTGGGATGTTTGCGCGAGCAGTGGAGTTGCCAAGCGCGGTGCAGGGTAGTCAGCTGCACCACATAGAGTGTTCCACTTAAACTGCATCACATAGAATGCATCACCCATATTCCCTTGTCTAACAAGAGAATCGACTGTGCCCCCCCCCCCCCGGGATTATCGACCCCCCTTTCCGTGTAACAATTTACATGCGGTTCTGCCCCGTCGTCCACCCGATATATGAATTCGTATCATCCCAGCCCAACCAGTATCGATCCCCTCTTGTCATCCTCTGCCGAAAAATACAACACGGCGCATTCGTTGATCACAAGTCATGATTTTTCAAGAATCTTCGCAAGAATCCGACGACATGCGCACGCGCGCGCCCTCACGCGCGCATGCCGCAACCCTTCTTTAAATTATTGCGCAATCGTTCCGTCAGGATTTCCAAATCGATTGTCGACAAAAACAACATGAAAACACAAGTTTCCGCAACACGGTTTTGTATAAGAAAAATTTGCGCGCGTTCTCTCGCGAGTATTTAAGACAAGCATTGTTTTTCAACATGCTCAAACAATGCTACCAAACGGGCTTCGCGCGCGTGTCGACATCATTCGAACGCCCTTGCGCGCGCGCCGTCGCGACAATCCTCTTTTTACCGAACAGCGAAGACTGATATGCTTCTAATGGTTTCAAAACAAAGCAGGGGGGTCCTGGCAGGATCCGGGGAGAATCCGCGGAAGTCGTTTTAAGCAAACAGTTGCACACTTCGTGGTCTTCAATGTCCCAGAACTCCACTCCTGGGCCACATTCTGAATGCACCGAGCCAACAGTAGGCCACTCCGTGCTCTTCGAGTCCCCAGAACTCCACTCCCGGGCCACATTTTGAATGCCCGGAGCCACCTGTAGGCCACTTCGTGCTCTTCGAGTTCCCAGAACTCTCTTCCCGGGCCACATTTTGAATGCCCGGAGCCAACTGTAGGCCTTTTTTGCTCTTCGAGTTCCCAGAATTCAACTCCTGGGCATGATTTTGAATGCCCGGAGCCAACTGTAGGCCACTTCGTGTTTTTCGAGTTCCCAGAACTCCATTCCCGGGCCACATTTTGAATGCTGAGGCAGGCTGATGTTGAGGCTGAGGCAGGCTGAGGCTGAGGCAGGCTGAGGCTGAGGCCGAGGCTGCAGGCAGACTGAGGCTGAGGCTGAGGCAGGCTGAGGCTGAGGCTGAGGCTGAGGCTGAGGCTGAGGCTGAGGCTGAGGCTGAGGCTGAGGCTGAGGCTGAGGCAGGCTGAGGCTGAGGCTGAGGCTGAGGCTGAGGCTGAAGGCAGACTGAGGCTGAGGCAGGCTGAGGCTGAGGCTGAGGCAGGCTGAGGCTGAGGCTGAGGCAGGCTGAGGCTGAGGCTGAGGCTGAGAGGCTGAGGCTGAGGCAGGCTGAGGCCGAGGCTGAGGCTGAGGCTGAGGCTGAAGCAGGCTGAGGCTGAGGCTGAGGCAGGCTGAGGCTGAGGCTGAGGCTGGCTGATGCTGAGGCAGGCTGAGGCTGAGGCTGAGGCTGAGGCTGAGGCTGATGCAGGCTGAGGCTGAGGCAGGCTGAGGCTGAGGCGAGGCTGAAGGCAGACTGAGGCTGAGGCTGAAGCGCTGAGGCTGAGGCTGAGGCTGAGGCAGGCTGAGGCTGAGGCTGAGGCTGAGGCTGAGGCTGAGGCAGGCTGAGGCTGAGGCCGAGGCTGAAGGCAGATTGAGGCTGAGGCTGAAGCAGGCTGAGGCTGAGGCAGGCTGAGGCTGAGGCTGAGGCAGGCTGATGCTGAGGCAGGCTGAGGCTGAGGCTGAGGCTGATGCAGGCTGAGGCTGAGGCAGGCTGAGGCTGAGGCCGAGGCTGAAGGCTGAGGCTGAGGCTGAGGCTGAAGCAGGCTGAGGCTGAGGCTGAGGCAGGCTGAGCAGCTGAGGCTGAGGCTGAGGCAGGCTGAAGGCAGACTGAGGCTGAGGCTGAAGCAGCTGAGGCTGAGGCTGAGGCAGGCTGAGGCTGAGGCTGAGGCAGGCTGATGCTGAGGCAGGCTGAGGCTGAGGCTGAGGCTGATGCAGGCTGAGGCTGCGGCAGGCTGAGGCTCAGGCCGAGGCTGAAGGCAGACTCAGGCTGAGGCTGAGGCAGGCTGAGGCTGAGGCTGAGGCAGGCTGAGGCTGAGGCTGAGGCAGGCTGAGGCTGAGGCAGGCTCAGGCTGAGGCAGGCTGAGGCTGAGGCCGAGGCTGCAGGCAGACTGAGGCTGAGGCTGAAGCGGGCTGAGGCTGAAGCTGAGGCTGAGGCTGAGGCTGAGGCTGAGGCTGAGGCTGAGGCAGGCTCAGACTGAGGCAGGCTGAGGCTGAGGCTGAGGCTGAAGCAGGCTGATGCTGAGGCAGGCTGAGGCCGAGGCGGGGGCCGACGGCAGACTGAGGCTGAGGCTGAAGCAGGCTGAGGCTGAGGCTGAGGCTGAGGCTGAGGCTGAGGCTGAGGCTGAGGCTGAGGCTGAGGCAGGCTGAGGCTGAGGCTGAGGCAGGCTGAGGCTCATGCAGGCTGAGGCTGATGCAGGCGGAGGCTGAGGCAGGCTGAGGCTGAGGCCGAGGCTGAAGGCAGGCTGATGCTGAGGCTGAAGCGGGCTGAGGCTGAGGCTGAGGCAGGCTGAGGCTGAGGCAGGCTGAGGCTGAGGCTGAGGCAGGCTGAGGCTGAGGCTGTGACTGCGACTGCCGTTGCCATTGCGACTGTCATCGCGAATGCGACTACGACAGCGAGAACAGCAGAATTCTACAACTGGATTATCATCTGAATATTAAGGGGAATGCTTCCAGATATGCTCCTACATCGTTGTTAGGTTGCTTTGCCGGGATCATCTGCAGCAGCACGTAGGACGAATTGCACGCGCGCGCTTCTTCGCGCGCGCAGTCCAAAGTCAGTCAAAAACCGCCATTTCAGTCGCGATGCCAAGGCTGAGTGTCTGAACACGTACACACACACACACGGTTTCACAACGTCAGTTTTCAAGACAGCGTGTGCCAACGCTCTTGCGCATTCTTGGGGTAACAATAGGTTTTCAAACATTTCCATGGAATTCTGCCAAACGGGCCTCTGGCGCCGCATGCCGACATCATTTGCACGCCCTTGCGCGCGCGCTTGGGGGGCACGATCCGTGTCACATAAAACCATGCGGGCCACTCGCGCGTCGGCCGCGCGCGCATGTCGGACTCCTTCCAAAACCTTCATCACCGACGCGAGGACGCCGTCATCGTCGACGGCGTGATCAGCATCGGCGCCCGCACTGGCCGCGCCGTCGTCGTTGTCAACATCGTCACCAGCATCGCTACTTTCATCATCGTGTCTACCGTTGTCGACGTTGCCATGATACCGCGCCCACCCAATTCGCACACATATTGCACCACATATATTGCGCCGTTGGGGCGGCATGCTGCAGCTCATACCCAAATCAGTTTCCGTCGCGGAGTTTGTTCAGTTTTCTTCCTGCTTCACGAGTGTGTTGCAATCACAATGCGCATGGAGGACTTCACCAACACCGATGTCCTGCAGACGGTGAGTGACATCACAACTGCGGAGGACTGTCCTGGCACATCGCCCTCCAGCCGATGTGGGCCTTGCTGCTCGCATCTATCGGATGGGCGCTTGCAGTACAGTAGGCACGTCAAGTATGAACCCGGCTGCCAGCAGGTGCCGTCTGACATCCCGGGTTTCTGATCTCAGATGGCCCAAGGCCCACAGATTTTTGGGGCACATTCGGCCCGTCAAACATCGACGAACAGTGTGCCCCAAGAAGTCTTCTAACAGGATGTCTCTTCGTATGTTCTCACTCTACACAGGAGAGGAATATGCGAGGCGGGGGCAAACGGGGCTGTTGGGAGGACAGGCAGGCGAAGTTCCGACCACGACCATGGCTAAGGCGGCGATGACGATGCTGATGGACACGGTGGCCCTGATGACGGCGATATCGAACGGCCCCCGACCATTCGGCTTCGGGCGGCGCAGCTTTTGCATGGGCATGGCGAGAGTTGGCTCTAAAACTGAGCAACGCAGCTGTGAACTACACCAGCGTCCACGCCGGGCGCACGGATACGATATTGGCAGCCCGCCTTCACGGGAGCGGTGGCACAGAATGACGTGAGTTCTCCACAGAAGTCCCTCGAAAGATAGTGACTATGCCTATGAGCTATGTTGATTACCCAGCTGAGCAGCGAGCCTCCGATCCGCGGGGCGCTCCTCCACGGGGGGTTTGGATCGGGCTGCCGGAGCAATGGCAGATCGCGGATCAGCTTGGATTGTCGGTATCGTTGAGCCAATCCCCATGCCCATCTCCTCCTCCCCCTCCTCCCCCTCCTCCCCCTCCTCCTCCTCCTCCTCCTCCTCCTCCTCCTCCCTCCTCCTCCTCCCTCCTCCTCCTCCTCCTCCTCCTCCTCCTCCTCCTCCTCCTCCTCCTCCTCCTCCTCCTCCTCCTCTCCTCCTCCTCCTCCTTCCTCCTCCTCCTCCTCCTCCACCCCCTCCTCCACCCCTCCTCCTCCACCCCCTCCTCCACCTCCTGCTCCTCCTCCTCCTCCTCGGGTCGCTTACGGCCCCGGGGGAAACCGTGCACCTTAGATCTTCAACTAATGTCATAATTGTTCCCCACGTGGGGCGTCCCAAAAAGTCAGTATCGTTGAACCGACCCCCATCCCCATCGCCATCCCCTTCGAGACCCCCACCAGATTGCCACCCCAGTCGGGGACACACCCCTCGAAGCCCGAAGGGCGCGACCTGTGTCCCCATCTAGGGGGGTAAATAGGCCATCGGGGCCCAGGCCACGCCGCTGGGGATGGGGATCGGTTCCACGATACTCCGATGGGATGGGGGCCTCCGAAGTTCGCGAGGCGGGGAGCCCGTGAGGCAGGGCCCCCCAGAAGAGGCGGGGGGGGGGGTGTTCGGTTGAGGCCTCGTGGTGGGTTGCGTGGGGGCACTGTCTGGGGACTCTCGTGGGCGCGCTGCGAGCTGTCGCAAGGGGCACTGTCTGGGGACTCTCGTGGGCGCTTTGCGAGCTCTCGTGGGGGCACTGTCTGGGGACTCTCGTGTCTGGGGGCTCTCGTGGGCGCCCTGCGAGCTGTGTCTGCCACGGCGCCAACATCGCAGAGCGGATGGCGTTCAGAGAACGATGGGAAGGGCCCGGCTTGCCTCGGAGAAATGTGTTCCGAATTTCGTTCTGGATTTCCAGGAATGAAAACTACCAGAAAATCCACGTGAAATTATTTCGTTTTGCGCTCGCCGTTGCAGAATTTCCCACCGAGAGAGATCCACGCAAGAGTCCGCTGCAGCACGTCTGCGAGGTCGGTGCAGGGGGCGTCTTGCGAGCTGTTTCTGGGCCTGGCGGAGCCTCCTGGAGGCAGCTTTGAAACGCCTTGGGGCCCCCATTCTGGGGCCTCTTTTTTCGGCCTCTCCTGGGTGCCTGTTGGGGCTTTGGGGGGCATCTTCGGGCCCGTTGTTTCTCCCCGAGGGGCAAACACTAGGAGGGAAAAACACACACGGACGCAATGAACCGTCGATTCCCCCGAACGTATAGAAAAATATGGGAAGCGGGGGGGAGGACAAGAACCCAGGAAATGTGGGAACATATGGGGAATCCGGTCACTTGTGTGTATTTATTGGTGTGTCGTCTTCGGCACCGCCTGATCCCGAGGCTTTGCCCCCTCCTGGCCTGGCCCTGGGGCCTCTCCTTCTTTCCCCACCCTCTTTGTTAATTCAAGCTTCGCGCGGCCTGCTTAGCTTCGACTGGAAGAGGTGCGCTCTCGACCCGCGGATCCCAAAAAGTGTATTTCTTGGTGTGTCCCAGGGCCCCTTCGAAGCACTGGTTCAGACAGCCACCGCCGGCCGTTCGCGCGAGCCTCTCGGGCCGTGGCCGAGATCCCCCCCTCGCAGCGCTCCGGTCGCCGCCCCTGCCAGACGCCGGCGCGCTCCGTGCGCCTTGGGGGGGGCGGGCTCCCGCGCCGGTCCGAGGAGTCCACACGGACCTCCGCGCGCTGTTCGATGCCGGTGTTCTGGGCCTCCTAGATTCGGGGGTGGACAGGCCTCCTACCCTGACACGTCGATTAGTGAATTGGCCGTTTTCGGTTCGCGAGAGGGCGTCGCAGCCGTCACTTTTGCGGGTCCAGGTCCGTCGGTTTCGGTCCCAGGCCGTTTTCACTAAGCAGAGGTTTACTAAAGGGAGGTTTGTCCCCCGCCGATAGATGGGGTCGGAGTGGATGGGGTCGGAGGATCGGGCCGCATCGCGGGAGCATCGCCGGTGCGGCTCGATGTGGAGCCCGATTTGCTTCACGTCGACGTCGCCCGTGCGTCTCCGACGTCGACGGTGCATCGCCGATGCGTCGCCGATGCGTCGCCATCCTCCGACCCCATCTGCTCGGGCCCCAGCTACAGTCGGGTTGCTGAAGAAAGAAGCCTTTTCGTTGGGGAGGGGCTCGATGTTACTGGATTGTTTCACGGTTTGCCCCAGGTTTTCCTTAAGTTTTTCGGCGGGAAGTCGAAATTTGGTTTCTGGAGGGAAGGGGCCTCGTTGCTTATCTAGGGTTCCTTAGATCAGCGCCCCGACTGTGGGAGGCCTCTGGATGTTTGTGGGCTCGCTGCCAGGAGTCCGTGGCCGCTTCGGCGGTCGGCGTGCGGCCCCGTCGGATGTGGGCCCCTGCGGCGAGGGGCCCTCGTCCTCCTCCTCCTCCTCCTCCTCCTCCTCCTCCTCCTCCTCCTCCTCCTCCTCCCTCCTCATCATCATCATCATCATCATCATCATCATCATCCTCATCCTCATCCTCCCTTCTCCTCCTCCTCCTCCTCCTCCTCCCTCCTCCTCCTCCTTCTCCTCCTCCCTTCTCCTCCTCCTCCTCCTCCTCCTCCTCCTCCTCCTCCTGCTCCAGCACGCTTTGGGCACTGCAGCGGCGGTATGCAGCTCGGGTCGGGAGCTCTTCTCGTTGCATTAAAAACTCCCACCTGTCGGTGAAGGCTCTTTGAACCTTCATCAGTGCAGCTGACAGGTGTGTCAGAGGCACGGTGGCAGAGCAAAATGTAGCGTTTGGACTGTCTTCGTTACGGAAGTGCGGGTGTCGATTGGTTCTAATATTCGAGCGAGAGCTGGCTTATGGACCCCTCAGGCCCTCCTCGAGCTTCCTCAATAGTTGCGCCGTTCAGCACGACACCTTCCCTTTCTCGCCTCGGCCCAGCGTCCCCCCCAGCACCGCCCAGGAGGCGGGCCTTGCCTTCCCAGGCCCTTGCGACTCCCTGGGCCTGTTCGTGGGAGGGCGGCCCAGCGGTTTGCGCAAGGCCTTGGCAGGAGTTCGGCCCAGGCGTCTCGGGTGGACCGTTTCCAACAGTGGAGACCCATGCCAAGAAACACCCTGCTTGCCTCCAGGGTGGCCTGGGTTTCGTGGGTTTCGATGGTTGCTCCATGGGGAGCGTGACGTCACACCAAAACTCAATGGACGTCCTGGGGTCTCAGGGTTGGGTTTCTTGTGGAAGGTTTCTTGTGGACTGGCCTCCACTGTACGTCGCCGCCTCGGCCGCACGGGGCTGCGCTCCAAGGCGCGGGCATGGTCACGGGCCCCTTCGAGCCGTCGGGAGGTCGCAGGGGCGGCCGCGAGCCAGAACGCAAGGCACTCGCCTGCGGTCGCCAGCCCCGTCCCGTGCTCTTCGCTAGCCTTCGGCCGGAGAGGGACAGCTGTCTCAGAGGAGGAACAAGTACTCATACTTCTGCCCCTTCCCCGTTTTCCCTGTTCTGGGCCTCCCGGAAGGCCTTCGTCGCCACCGCTGGATCCGCCTCGAAGTCCTGGGCAAACTGGCGGGTGACGATGTCTATGCTTATGATGTTCCAACCTACTTTATCCTTGAGCACCAGGAAGAATTTCGAGCGCCAGAAAAAAGTACCCAACAACTCAAGGGTTTTCACGTGCCGGGCCTTGGGAGACACTGTTTCGACACTCTTGGGGACTCTTTCGACACTTTTCTGGGCGCTCGAAATTAGTTCTGGGATGTGGTCCTTAAGGAGGATGGGAACAATATAAGTCTATGCATATCCGCCGCCGGGTCGTCCTGGCCGAGCCGGGAGGGGCGTGGCGCATGCAGTGCTCCTGGGGTCGGGTGGGGGCCTGGCCGGGGAGCAGCGGACGTGCACAGATCTCGTCGCCTACGGCATGCAGAGGAGAAGGAGGAGGAGGAGGAGGAGCAGGAGCAGGAGCAGGAGGAGGAGGAGCAGGAGGAGCAGGAGGAGGAGGAGGAGGAGGAGGAGGAGGAGGAGGACTGGCCCGCCGGCAGGCGCCCCTCGGAAAATCCATCATCCAGCCCACAGAAGCCGGGGTGCACCTCGGGGAAAAGCTCGAGGCTCCACGACTCTCGGGTCGGGCGAAAGGGAGGGATTGGGAAAGGGGGGGGTACGAAATTTGCTGCATGCAGCTCGTTCGGCCCCACCGAGGGGCCCCAATCTTTGATACATGGTCGCCTCCCGGCGCCGGGAGGCGCCGGGAAAATCAGCTACGTGAGCTGATTCTCAAACGCCCCCTTTGCTATCCCCCCTTTCGCCCGGCCCGAGACTCGCTTGCCCCTGAGTACACCTTTGATATTCGCAGCGTCGCCCGTCGCAGGTGTTGTTGTTGAAAGTTGATGCTGTTCCTCTTGTGCCCTTGCACCCGGGGTGGTTCTTCCCTCGCACTGGGCCCCACCACCGCTGGCCCCTTGTTGCAGCAGCCGCCGCGGGCCCGCCGGCGGGGCTGGCCGCGCCACGCGCTCGGGGCGTGACCCGTCCTGAGCGGTTCGCTCCTTCCGCCCCCCTCTTTCGGCCGCGCTTTCCTCCTGGTCTCCCTCCTGGTCTCCCTCCTGCATCGTGGCACCATTCGCTCTAACGGCACCCCCGTTCGGGCCTTTCCGCCAGCGCAGGCGACCCCATGCCTCGCCGCCGGCACGAAGAGTTGATGTTGTAAAGATTCCACGTCTGAGCGTTTCCCTCCTTAGGGGGACAAGCAGTGACGCAAGAAAAGCTCCGTCAGGACTGCCAGGACGAGTGCAGGAACTTCCAAGAGTGCCTCCACTGGCCGCTGTCTTGTGGTTGCCTCTTCTAGATGTCAGGAGATCTCGCTCGCCGCTCAGGTAGGCGAAGATTATTTGCAGTACCGCTGGGAAGGTTTACCGCCATCCTGGTACATCATGGAGTGCATTTGACAGTGCACTGCCGATGTTGCGCTGGTTCGAGGAATGATGCAGCACCTTTCGCATAGGCAAAGGCAAGTAACGCCACGTCGGGAAAGAAGTTAGGCTAGTGCGGCGCAGTGCACGCCTTGTAGATGCAAGTGTCTGACTTCGGTGATATCTCAGTGAGGCAGGCAAGAAATTGATTGGGCGAGTCATGTTGGCGCTGACGCCTGAGGGAGAGACGAGATTGAAGGAAAGAGTGGGAATGGCGTGGTGGGAAGCGGAGGGCAACGGATGTGGGGATGGAGCGGGGGAAGGAGTTGAGGGGCAATGAGTCAGGATCGCGCACGGACTGCGGCTCCATAGTCGCACAGATGGCCTGGAGCCAGAGAGATGATGGACATTCGCTCACTCACGCGAGCCCGTTGATTGCAAGGGCATTTCGTCTCCGACCTCTTTTTTTCCGTGGCTCCTACATGCCCCAGTTCGTGCACTGGTTCGCCCACGCCTCCTTCTTGGTGCCGATTCGTGGACCGCATCCACGCGCCCTGCCCGACAGGGCACGGACGTGCTCGTGGCGACCGCTCGCTCGCTCGCACGAAACCCGGGCAGCCGGTCGCCCATGCATCTCAGGGAGGCTTCTGGCGTCAGGCTCCGCGTGTTGATTCGTCGCGGCGCCGCTGGAGGAAACATGTCGCAACCACTCGTAGATGTTCGTTGGCGCGTGCTGGTGGGCGAAGAAGGAAGCCACCGCGGAGGGCCGAAATCCAGGAGCACCCAGCGCCTCTGCGAAGAAGCATGTCGTCGGAGATCTGGGAGGACGGGGAACCAGCGGCACCCAGGGCCAGACCATGAGCGCTGGCGGCACCGGGGCTTTCTATCACCGCCCACCAAACCACCCCAACCAAACCCGAAGGCCCCAATATGCCCTCCATTTCCAGTTGGGGGGGGGGTCGGGAAACGTTGAGCAAACACACGTGAAGCCCGCACCCCCCCCAACCCGAAATTCGGGTCTTCGGGTTGGGTTGGGGTGGTTTGGTAGGTAGTCATTCTAGGCCTCCAAGGTGGGGCCCGAGTAGATGGGGTCGGAGGGTCGCGCCGCATCGCCGATGCATCGGCGATGCAGCTCGATGCGGAGCATGTCTTTCTCCACGCTGGCGTCGCCGATGTACCGCCGACGTCGCCGATGCATCGCCGATGCATCGCCGACACATCGGGAATGCATTGGCGAAGCGGCGCGATCCTTCGACCCCATCTTACTCGGACCCCATCTAGGAGGCTTCTAGGCTCAGGTGGCACGCTGCCATCCCCCCGCCGCCCTTCCTCCTCGTTCTCCTCAGCAGAAGCCGTTCCGCATCCTCCTGCCAGCCTAGAGCATACCCCTATCCTTGTGATCGGCATCGCCTCGTCTCGATGCTGATCTTGAGGATTTCCGCGGTTTTCGAGGGCGCACCCCTGGGGTTGTCATCGCTCCTTGCCGATCTGAGGGACAAGGATCATTTCGAGGCTGGCTATCCTCTGCGCAGGGGGGGTGGACACGGGTCGAGGTGGCACCCGCAGGCCCGGCCAGTGGGTGGTTTCGTTGGTGGGTGTCTTGCGCAGGGATATCTGAAGACATTTGGGTGAGCTCGTCAGACACATTTGCAAATAGCATAGCTGGCCCTCCTAATGCAGGTACCTTCCCAGATGGTTACGGGTATTTTTATTGCCCATCAAAGCGGACAGGGGGCCATAGTGCTATGCGGTGGATGGGGAACCCGAACCAGTCGAAATAGCTCCCCAGGGCGTCGAAGGGATTTCCCTCTCGAGGATCACCCCCCTCCTCTTCGGTCAGGTCAGGTCTCCCCTCCCAGGGTTCCTTCCGATTTCGCCGGTTCGATTCGATTCGATGTCGATGGCTTCCGACTCCAATTCGATTTGATTTCGGATCCCCGTTTGGATTTCGGTCTGCCGGTCGAGTTTTCAGACAGTGCCTACCAGCCTGCCGATGTCCACCGGTCTCCCGGCCCCCGTTCCGCCTCGAAGGTGCACCTCCTGGAGCTGGGGCAAGATGAAGGGCGTCACGGGGCGCGCCGCCCTCCCTCGTGGCCCAGCGCCCCCCCTCGCCCTCCGCTGCCTCTGCCGAGCTGCGGGGGCGACGATCCGCCCGCAACGCTCCCCGCCCTCCGTCGCCCCCCCCCTCCCTGCCGCCTACCTCCCCCGCCTTCCCCTACCTCTCCCCTGCCCTCGCCCTCGCCAGGGAATCTCTCATATCCCACGAGGGTGGATAGAGGTGTAGCCAGAGAAGGAGGATGATGATGAGGAGGAGGACGAGGAGGACGAGGAGGACAAGGAGGACGAGGAGGACGAGGAGGTGGAGGAGGAGGAGGAGGAGGAGGACGAGGAGGTGGAGTGGGACGAGAGGTGGAGGAGGAGGAGGAGGAGGCGGAGGAAAGGGAGGAGGAGGAGGAGGAGGAGGAGGAGGAAAGGCAGGGGGGGAGGAGAAGGAGGAGCTCTCCCCCCCCTCCCCGCCAGCACAGGGCGGACCCACGGTGGGCGGCCGCCGCGCGCTCTCCCCCGCCCGAGAGGTGCCCCCCCCCCCCCCCCCCGGGGGCAGCGGCGCCCTGGCTCCTGCCTCGGCCGGCAGTGGCCGGACGTGTGTGCTGTGCGACAGGCGTCACGCTGAGCTGGAGCTGGGCGCCCTCGATGGGCGCGAAGTGACTCGCGCTCCGCGCTCTTCGCGGTCCGGCTCCGACTCCTCATCCTCCTCTGCTCCCCCGGGAGGCGGCGCGAGGGAGGGCGCGAAGTTGTTCGCACTTCGCGCTTCGCGCAGCGCGGAGCGCGAAGTTGGGAGCCCTTGTTAAGCTGGAGCTGGGCGCGGCTGTTCTGGGGACCAGCCCGCTGTTCGCAGCCCGTCTGGGCAGCTGCGGGGAGACGATCGAGGATGTGCGTGTATAACCCTGGCCACGCTGATGGCCCTGGCGCTTGAACGGCACAGCGGAGCCCACATCTACCCGACCAGCGTCGCAGTCACCGCAGGCAGCCAGCACCCACTGCCCCACGGGTCCAGGATTTGGGTACCTAAGATGTTCTCCACTCCATCCCCGCCTGCGTCCCTCTCTCCCTTGCCTCCCTCATCCCACCCCCGTCCAGCCCCTTTGATTGCTGCCCCCTCCCTCTCTCTCGCCCCTCGCTCGCGCAAGTTCCCTCTCCCGGCGCATTCCGACCCTCAGTGAGGGGGGGGGACATCATCTACAGTAGAGTCTGCCGTGACCTCCTTCCGCCTGGACTTCTCTTCTACGAGATCCCCCTCTCATCGTCCTCCTCACCTGTTCTATTTATCTTCGTCCGCCCCTTTCACTCCATGCATGTCATTCCTCATTGATACACCTCTCCCCCTCGCACTCTGTGTTGTTTCTTATTGCTTAGCGTCGTGAGCCAAGATTGCTTCCGAGCGGCGCTCCACGACAAGTCTGGCACCGAAGTGACCAGAGAGTGCAATGGCCTGGCTGACCTTGGCGAGCCCCCCCCCATGGGTCATGGTTTCGGCGCGTTCAACGTTCGCCAAACAGTGGCATCATCAGGTGATATTGTTGCTTTACCGAGCAGCACATGGCAGTGACGTAAGAACGTTCCTGGTACGGCTGCGCAGAGATGCGGCTGAAAAGGCAATGATTGGACCAGAGGCTATAGCACGTGGCGTTGTCGTGGTTGGCTTGAAAGGGGGTCTGCGCACGCAACCTCGCCCCCGCCAGCGTGTACCCCAAGTTTCACCGACAGCGCTTGTTACAACGCAGCTCCCCTTTCGGACTGCGCACAACCCGATCGGGTCCTTTTTTTCTGGGGATTGCCCCTTGTCCTCCATGACACGCGTCGTCAGACAGAGCAAACAAACAACGCAATGGGATTGGATAGGTGGGAGGGGCAGGATGTGACATATGACGCGGGGGCACCAAGCTCGCCTTCCACCCTCTCCCTCTCCCCCCATCCATCCCCTCTAGCCCCGGACGGCGCCCCTTCCTCTCTTTTTCTTTCTTCCTCCCCCCCTCCCTGGGGGGCAGTGCCACGGGGGGTACCATTAGGGGGGTCATCACCTCCGCCTGGACATCGGGGACCGAGGAGGAGGGGCTATCGTAGATCAAGGAAGTTCGGGATGTGTTTGGTTGTCCTTGGGGTCCTGGGGGGCTCCGCGTGTGCAGCGGGTTCGTTTCATCGAGGAGGTGGCGACCCCTCTGGTGGTGATCCGCGTTGGTGGTGCTTGGTCGTTCCTCTGCTTGCCCTTCCCGGACATGGACGAATCGATCCAACTTCGCTTGAGCTTTCATGCCGTCCCTTCTTTCACGATGGCCCGCGTTTTTGGGCGCTTTGCGGTTTTCCATATCCTTCCGTATTAGTGAATCATTTTGCAGGGAGGTTTTACGACATCATTACACTGTGTTTGGAATGAAGTCCCGTGCGAGATCATTTCAAGTAGATGTTCGGACTTTTTGCGGCAAGGCTGAAGCGCGGAAATATAGTTGGCGCGACGGGCACGTTTTTCCCCTGCACCAGCCGTACACTTTCAGCGAACATTAGTTTGTTTTGGTCGAGGGTGCGCGAAGTCAAGAGCAGAGAGAATTGAGGGCATCGCGTGATCACTATGACGAGCGGCAGTCCACAGGTCAGTGCGCCATTTCGTGCCAGCTCGAATTCTGAAACGCGCGCGTGGTACCCGTCGGTGAGGGGCGAGCTATGCGTCTCGGCTTGTGGTAGGCGTATCGAATAAGGAATGCGGTCGGGAATGCTTGGTTAGCATGTCGCGCCGCCGTTTCTGGCCCACCACGTTTCGGCGCGACGACACGCTATCTTCTTCCCAGCGCCAGAGCGTGGTCCTGAGTCTTCCCGGAACTCCCGCACCGCTAAGCGGAACGACGCGCTATCCATTCGCAAAGCATAGCGCGTCGCTGGGGCCGCCGCCGCGACACGCTTTACAATTAGTTCCTGACCGTACACTAAAGGTCTCGCGTGAATCCAAGAAGAAATCATTACATAAGTGCGAACAGTTTGGAGGTCCGCACGGATTTCTTGGATCGGCGCTGGTTTCACCTGGCGGCGCCTCCGCCGCTGCCCGTGGCGCGCTCCGCGCGACAGGCTGGGGGGGCCATCGCCGATCCAAGAGATCTGCGTGGACTTCCGAAAGTGTATGTACAATTGTGCAGTTTGTTTCTGCGCTCCGCGCGGGGTCTCTTGGTCAACTGATGACGGAGCGCCCTGGTCAGCTTGCAGACGCACCACGCATGTTGTAATATCCGCTTGTGGTTCGCACGCCATGTTCCCACACCATTCCTGCAAGATGCAATGTTGTTTAAGACACCGGCTTCAAGGACTAAGAACATTGGTGTGGTTTTTCGTGTTGTCGATTGTTATGAGATCCTGTGTTTGGGCATTGTTTGGGTCTTGTTTTGCCGTCCTTGGAATCCTCCAGAGGCCGCCTCGAGGGCTTCTTACGGCCCTCTTGGGCCCTTTTGGGTGGTTGTTGGGGCTCTGCTGGCAATGTTTCTAGATCTCTGAAGCCATTATGAACTGTGAGCCGAGCATGCCAAACATTTGGAGCAGCCGTTGGGCTGTGGGCAATTCGGCTGTCCGGGGCCTCTCTTGGAGCGTCTTGGGGCCTTTCTCTTGGAGCCTTTTGTCGGCCTCGTAAAGGCCTGCCTCTTTGGCACTTGTGGCGCTTCTTGGGGAACCACCCGGAAGAAGGGCTGGCAAGCTTTGCCTCCAGAAGGCTCCTACGGTACACTTCGGGACCGCCCAGGGATTCTGGCGAGCTGGGGGCCAGGGCCCTGAAACATCCCGCAATCCGTCAATATACACCCCAAGGATATTTGGCATTGCTCGGACGTGTGCATTTTTCCTTCGGCACAAGCCGAAAAGCACAGGGAATGGACGTCCGAGCGATGGCCAGCATACGTTGAAGTCATTCCGTGTGTCTTTTTTCGGCGGCGCACCGAGGGGAGAAGCGAGATTATGCAGGCCTTCCCAGAAGGCGGCCATCGCCTCGGAGAGGGGCCGGACAGGTTCTCGGGAGGCGGGAGGCCGTCTGAGCGTGCTGAGAAACCCACCCCCTCTGCCTTCCTCTCTGGGGCGTGCCGCCCCCTTATGCTGCGCGCCTCGCCGCCGTCTGCGACGACGACGACGACAGCGGCGATGGCTAAGACGGTGACGACGGCGACGACGACGACGACGACGACGACGACGACGACAACGACGTTGTCGACGCACGACGACGACGGAGAAAGTGACTACGACGGCCACGGCGACGGCGACGGCGACGGCGAGGGCGGTGGATACAGCGACGGCGACGGCGACGGCGGCGGCGGCGACGACGACGACGACGGCCGGCGGCGGCGCCTTGCGGCGACGACGGCGACAGCGATGGCCGTGGCGGCGACGACGCTGCGGCGGCCACGCCCGATGGAGCTCTGCGTGTCCAACGTCGGGTGCTTGTTGGTGAGTTCTTTGTGAGTTGCTTTGCCGGTCGGCGCAGGCCCCAGGCCCCCCCTCATCCCCTCGCAGACCAGATTTGGTCGCTATGGGAGAAGCAGGTCCTGAGGAAAACGGGTCCTGAGGTTTGTCGCCGTTCTCGTGTCCTCCAGGCCATCCACGGCCCGCGGGACTTTCAGAAAGCGATTCAGGATGAGAAGTTCGTCCTGGCGGCAGGCCATATGGTCCAGGAGCCGTGTCTTCCCCACAGATCAAGCAAAGGCGGCTTGACCGACCCCTGGCAAACCATCCCCTTCCGTGACGTCCCCCTCGTGTCGCCCCACGACGTATGCATGCGGCCAGAGGGGAGCTCGAGAAGCGAGGATGGCGTCACGAGGGGGGATGGTTTGCGAAGGGTCGGTTCGACCGCGCCCAACATGAGTATTCCAGGTCTTGGCTGTTTGGGGTGGCTGCTTCTGGCTGATGCTGTTGGAGACTGGTCAGGACCCTCCCCTCCCAGCCTGGTCGCGCGACTGGTAAAGAAGCAGATCGACTAAGCACCAGCCCCGACCCAAAGCCCCCTTGTCCCTCACATGTCGGCCACATGTCGCAACCCAGAAGTCAGAGCCCCGAATCATCAGGGGTAACTCGGGTCAGAGCTAACTCGGGTTCGTTTTCGGGATTCCGAACCCGACTTACCCCGGACCCGAACCCCAGATAGTTCGGGCCTCCAGAGCCCCGAATCATCAGGGGTATCTCGGGTCAGGGCTAACTCGGGTTGGTTTTATTCGGGAATCCAAACCCGAATCACCCCAGACCCGAGTTACCCCGGATAGTTCGGGCGCCCAAAGAAGACATGCTTTCAGTAGAGGCCCGTGCAGAGAGACACCCTGCTTGCCTCCAGGGTGCCCTGGGCTTCTAGTGCTTCGCTGGTCTTGTGATGGAAGGCGTGGCACATCAAAATACCACGGACGTCTTGGGGTCTCAGGTTCAGGTTTCTTGTGGTCGATGCCTCGTGGTTGAGTTCCTGCTGTGCCAACGCGCCTCGCACCTCGGGCCTCTCTTGAGCGGGTGCTCGAGCCTCGGCTCGCCCCCCGCGCGCCCGTCCGTTCCCCGCGCGCCTCCGCGCTGCGGGCGGGGTGGCGGATGGCGGGGAGCGGGGTCATCCCTCGAGGTGGAAGCGCAGCACCCCGCCGCTGCGGGTAAGAGTGGGGGGGGGGCCAGCGCGCGGGATGGGTCGCGGGCTGCCTCGCGGGCTGCCTCGCGGGGGGTCGGGGGAACAATGACGGGGACGGCGACAACAACAACAACAACAACAACAACAACAACAACAACAATCACTTTACCCGAACGCTCAGTGTTCTCACCAGTGCCAGGGTTTTCATGCGACGCCAGCCAATACCCCCACTTTGTGGGGGGGCAGTGCAAGCTCTACCAAATATCCACACGACTCTTCGCCACCACCCACACCCAGCTTCCCGCCCTATGACGTTCGGACACTTCACTTCGTGGCCTGCGGACGACCGTGGCTACTACACTGGCGCGGAGTACACACCCACAGAAGTTGTTAAGCCTACGTTCGTACACCCACAGAAGTTGTTAAGCCTTGTTAACCCACAGAAGTTGTTAAGCCTTCCACATAACATCTGTTGCATATGATGCATATGGTACATGATACACATGATACACATGATACGTACTCACAAGATAGTTGATCACATCTTTAGGGCAAATTCCTGAGGGATGTGGGAATACACAAGAGAGAGAGGATATGGTTGTCCCGATGGTTGTCTCGATGGTTGTCCCGATGGTTGTCCTGATGGTTGTGGTTGTCCCGATCGTTGTCCCGATGATTGTCCCGATGGTTGTCCTGATGGTTGTGCTTGTCCCGATCGTTGTCCCGATGACTGTCCCGATGATTGTCCCGATGGTTGTCCCGATGGTTGTTCCGATGGTTGTCCCGATGGTTGTCCCGATGGTTGTGAGCGATGCCGGATCCTCACGCCCCCCGCCGGAGGAGGCCCGCATGGTATTATTTGACAGGGATGATGGCCCTGGCAGGTGCGCAACCGTTGTCGCAGAAGTTCGAAAAAGTTGCTCGCAAAAGCCCGTTTGACAGAAATGTTTAAAAAGTGTTGGGTTTCCTACGAATCCGCAAGAGCGCGCGGGATGAGATTTTGACATTTTTTTGTTGAAAAACCATTGGTTTTTTGATGTTTTTATGTTAAAATCGCTCCGAACACTAAGCTTTTGGAAGGATTTCGTCTTGCGCGCGCGAATGTCCACTTTACCTTATTTTTTGCAAGGGATTCTTGAAATTTGATTATATTAGAACAAGAAATGTCATTTTATAGTGTTTTTTGCAAGGGAAAACGGATTACAACAAAACAACCGGATCTGGACCCCATCCACTTTTCTGAAGCTTTCGCGAAAAAATGATGAAAATGTAGCTGCGGCCTAGGCGCGGCGGGGGGGCCGTGCACCAGGGGCCCCAACAATAATTATTCTTTAGAATTAATAATGTTCAACAACCACAACAACACCAACAACAACAACAACAACAGCAGCAGCAACAGCAGCAACAACAACAGCACCACCAACAGCAGCAACAACAGCAATACTTTTAAGACTGTTGGCTCTTATCTGCTCGAGCGTCATCCAGCGTATATTTCCCAAACCCTCGATGCCCGCTCTCTTCGTCTTCGGTGGTACCACCCTTGGGGGGTATATCCTTCTTCCCTGCAGGCCAGGCCCCAGCAAGCGGCGGGGCGGCCGCGGACCGTCGGCATGGCCAGCGGCAGCGCTGACCGGCGGCAGCCCAGCCCCAAGAGGGACGGACAGAGGACCGACCACGACGACGACAAGAGGAAACGAGAGCGAGAGCGAGAGCGAGAGCGACAGCGGGGCCATGAAGGGCAGTGATGAGGCCACGAAGGGCAGTGAGGGGGCCGCGAAGGGTGACAGCGGGGCCGCGAAGGGCAGTGATGAGGCCACGAAGGGCAGCAAAGGCGGCCGCGAAGGGTGACAACGGGGCCACGAAGGGACGCGTATGGGGCCACGCCGGGCGCGAACGAGCGGGGCCGCGAAGGGCGACGGCGGGGCTGCGAAGTGCATGCATATGGGGCCACGACGGGCGCGAACGAGGGGGGGCCACGAACGGCGTGCGCACACGGGGTCACGAAATGCAGCGAAAGGGCCGCGAAGCGCGACGGCGGGGCCACGAAACGCATGCGCATAGGGCCACGATGGGGGCGAACCAGCGGGGGCCACGAAGGGCGTGCGTATACGGGGCCACGAAGGGCAGCGAGGGGGCCATGGAGGGCTGCAACGGGGCCACGACGGGTAGCGAGGGGGCCACGAAGGGTTGCCATGGGGCCATAAAAGGGCAGCGAGGGAGCCACGAAGGGCAGCAGCGGGGCCACGAAGGGCAGCGACGGGGCCACGAAGGGCTGCAACGAGGCCACGAAAGGCAGCCGGGGGGCCACGAAAGGCTGCAACGGGGCCACGAAAAGGCAAAGAGGGGGCCACGAAGGACTGCAACAGGGCCGCGAAGGGCAGCGAGGTGGCCATGAAGGGTTGCAACGGGGCCACTGATGGCAGCAACGGGGCCACGACAGGCTGCAACGGAGCCACGAAGGGCAGCGAGGGGGCCACGAAGGGCTGCAACGGGGCCACTGAGGGCCCCAACGGGGCCACGAAGGGCTGCAACGGGGCCACGAAGGGCAGCAAGCGGGCAACGAAAGGCTGCGACGGGGCCACGACGGTTTACAACGGGGCCACGAAGGTTTGCAACGGGGCCACGAAGGGCTACAACGGGGCCACGAGCGCAGCGACATCCTGATCGATGTAAGCAGCGAGGAAGTCCTCAGCGTGAGCGCGACTCCTGGGTGCCTGAGTGTCGGGAGCGCGGCGCTTGAGTAAAGTGCAAGAGTGTCCTACGCAAGAGCAGTTTTCTTGAATACATTGTAAGGAAGTCATTCGCGTGAGCGCGATTCCACAGCGCCGAGAAATATAAATTGCAAGGAAGTCCCAGGCGATAGCGCGACTCCTGAGTAAAATGCGAGGACGTCTCAGGCGGGAGCGGGGGGGCCGGCTAATTTGTCAGGAGGTCTCAGATGGGAGCTTTTGTTGGTGTAGCCCAGGGGCCAGCAACACAGTTGGAGGCGAGTGACCTTCCTTTATATAAAACAGGGTGCGCGCCCCGGGGAAAACATTTCAAGTTGCCCGCCCGCGTGCTCAATTGGGGAGGTACCAGGCGGACGCCGTGGATGTTGTAGTTCGGGGGTGCCAGCATCTTAGTCAGAACCACCACATTTTCCGATGTAAGAAAAACAGGATCCCAACCTCAGGAAGGACACGTCATTCGGGCACGGACAAGCGAAAGGATGCATTGTCGTTTGCGTGTTCGGTCGTTCGAATGACATTCAAAAACAGCAAGGAGCAACCAACACATGTCAATCAAACGCAATCTGGGCCACGGAATCCCACTTTACCCATGCCCCCCAGGGATGGTGCAAGGCCGTTCGGCCCCCTCCTTTTCGGACAAGTGTTCAGCACACTTGGTGGTAAGTCCGTGTGGATGTCTCGGGTCGGCGCTTGGCCTTCCTAGCGGCGCCTGTGGCGCCAGGGGGCGGGGGTCCACCGCCGCCTCAAGAGTCTCGCGCGTAGTTTCGAACGTGTCTGCCCATGCCGCCCTTCTGCCTTTGACTCCAGCGCGTACGCCTCCCAGCGCTCGATCGGCAGAGGCTGTCCGACACGTGCTTCCTGAAGAGGGTGAGGCCGGGCGCCGTTGCGCAGAAGTTCAGGAACGGCTATTTTGTTGATTACGTTCCGCCTGGCATCTCAAGCGAAGAAAGATATCTGATAATGTTTCGCCGAGGCTGCTCTCTAAAGACAGGGGGCATGGGGGAGAGGGTCATTGAAAGCCGAAGATTCGGGGGAACGAGCGATGCAGTTTCCAATTTGGCGATTTGTGGTGGTTGTAGCTGTTTCCTGGTCAATTTGTTTATGTGTGCCTGCGTATGTGTACACGTGCGTAGGCACATGTGACCTGAACATGTTCATGCACGTAGTACAGTAAACGTCGCATGTGCAAACGTGATCAGCTGAGACCACCGACGCTCGAACAATTGTACGAACACCGGCAGACCTCGAGCAGTGCCGCCCGGGACACGGCTCGACGACAGCACTCCATCTCACGCGGCATGTCGTACTATTACGAGCCATGGCGAGGCACATGACGAGAACATGCCACCCTCGGGTGTGCCGAGAACGCCCTTGAGCACCCACCCCCCGATCCTCCTAGCAGGGACGCGCTGGGCGGGGATGCGTCTCGGAGACAGCCGGGTCTGCGCGGGCGGGCGGATACTTTCTCTCCGCTCGTGCGCTGCGCGATCACATCGCGAGAGAGAGAACAGCCCTGCCCGCATTGTCTGGACGGCCCCTGCCCCCTTCCCTCGCCGCGGCTCCTCGGACCCGTCCCCGCCCCCTCGCCCCTCCCCCCCCCCCGCTTTATCCCCCCTTGTTCCCCCCCCCCCCCTCCCTCCCTCTCCCCCATCCCCCTCCCCCCTTCCCCCTCCTTCCCCCTCCCTCTCCCCCTCCCCCCTCCTCCCTCCTCCTTCCCCCTCCTTCCCGATCCCTTCCCCCTCCTTCCCCCTCCCTCTCCCCCCTCCTTCCCCCTCCTCCCCCCCGCTTAGCCCCTTCCCCCCCCTCTCCCCCTCTTTCCCCCTTCTTCCCCTTTTTCGCGCTCGGCCTCGCCCCCCCCCTTCTCTGCTCCCTGGTGGGGAAGCGTACGTTCCAAAGGGTGACCGTCATATGGTTCTGGTCAGGAGTCCCGCCCGCACGTTGTCTGCATGATCCCAGCCCCCCCCCCTTCGCAGCAAATGGCGACCAGCTACAGGGGGCATCGCCTCCCAGCTGCCCGTGTGCAGAATTTGGTCCACAGATGTTCCTCGGACTGGGTTTGCAGTGGCCTTCCGTCCAAGCGGCCACCGTGCCCGGTTTGGGTTTGTGGACCAGAGGGTTATTCGATTGATATTGGGAAGCAGATTTTTGGTCTCCTGGGGGCCTCATGGGAGCATCTTGGGAGGCCACATTGGTGTGCAGGCCCGTCTTCGGCCCGTCTTGGGGGCCTCTTGGGCCCTTTCTTTGGGGCTTTGAGTCCGTCTTGGAGCGACAGGCCCACAGTGCCGTCTTGGGCCCTCTTGAGGAGAAATCGGCCACTCGCAGAGGGGGGGAGGGGGAGGGGGGGAAGGCTTCTTAGAAGCACCCCTGCTTCTTAGAAAGCGCCGGCCTTATCTGTAGATGTAAGGCCAGCGCCTTCCGCCTTCCCCTGCTCCCCTGTGCGCGCCGCCAACGAAGGCCAGAGTAGTCGAATCACAAATTGCTGCGCAATGGTTTCTGGCCACCTGGTCCCGAGGAACCTATAGAGATGACACGCATTGATTCCCGTGACTCTGGGAGCGCCCGTGACTCTGGGTCATGGGCCCCTCAAAAAACATTTACAAAACAGATGTCGCGCGTGCAAGCTGAATCTGATAACTACGAGAGAACCCAGAAAGCACTTCGAAGGAGCTGCGCAAAGGCTTGCGGCACACGCCTTGAGAACGAGCAGGACAACGCTCCTGGAACTCGCAGAAATCTGCGCGCCCAGGCTTATTCAAGAGACAATGGGGCACGGGTGGGGTTGCCGGGTTTCTGCAGCTTGCGTTCAGACCATTTGCGGAAGAGCACCGTTGCCCGCGTAAAACATAGTTTGGCGAAGGACCCACCCATATGCAGTTGTGAGTACAACAGTTGTGGGTATCGCTTTCGGTGGAGCTCCCTATGGGCCTCGAAGAGCTGTGCTGGGTGGGGGAGACGCATGTGCACACCGCCACTGGGACCTTAGGTGGAGCTCCTTATGTGGGGCCACGAAGCGCTGTGCTGGGTGGGGGAGACGCATGTGGACACCGCCACTGGACCCTTAGGTGGGGCTCCTTATGTAGCCACGACGCGCTCTGCTGGGTGGGGGAGACGCATGTGGACACCGCCACTGGGGCCTCAGGTGGAGCTCCCTATGGAGCCACGAAGCGCTGTGCTGGGCGGGGGGGACGCATGTGGACACCGCCACTGGGGCCTTAGGTGGAGCACCCGACGGGGCCACGTTTCGCAGTACTGGGTGGGGAAAACGCATGTGGACACTGCAACTGGTGCTTTAGGTGGAGCGCCGCCACTGGGACCTTAGGTGGAGACCCCTATGTGGCCACGGAGCGTTGTGCTGGGTGGGGGGGACGCACGTTGTTACCGCCATTGGGGCCTTAGGTGGGTTCCCTACGGAGCCACGAACCGCTGTGCTGGGTGGGGGAGACGCATGTGGACACCGCCACTAGGACCTTAGGTGGAGCTCTTTACGGCACCACGACACGATGTATTGTGTGGGGGAGACGCATGATGTGGACGCCGCCAATGGGGCCTTAGGTGGAGCTCCCCATGGAGCCACGAGGCGCTGTGCTGGGTGGGGGAGACGCATGTGCACACCGCCACTGGGACCTTAGGTGGATCTCCCTATGTGGCCACGAAGCGCTGTGCTGGGTGGGGGAGACGCATGTGGACACCGCCGCTGGGTCCTTAGCTGGAGCTCCCCTTGAAGCCACGAAGCGCTCTGCTGGGTGGGGGAGACGCATGTGGACACCGCCGCTAAGGCCTTAGGTGGAGCTCCGTATGTGGCCACGAAGCGATGTGCTGGGTGGGGGGGAGACGCATGTGGACATCGCCACTGGTGCTTTAGGTGGAGCTCCCTATGGGGCCACGGGGCGCTGTGCTGGGTGGGGGAACCCTATGTGGACACCGCCACTGGGGCCTTAGGTGGGGCTCCCTATGGAGCCACGACGAGCTGTGCTGGGTCGGGGAGAAGCATGTGGACACCGCCACTGGGACCTTAGGTGTAGCTCCCTATGTGGCCACGAAGCACTGTGCTGGGTGGGGGAGACGCATGTGGACACCGCCACTGTGGCCTCAGGTGGAGCTCCCTATGGAGCCACGCAGCGCTGAGAACATGCGCAGGGCAGAGGCAGGGATGGGTGGAGGGAGGAGGGGGAGGAGGAAGGAAGGAAGGAGGGAAGGAAGGAGGGAAGGAACGCGGGGACCGTCTCTTCAAAACGAGGACCCAACACAACAGGATGGTTGGGAACAAACTTCGCAGCGAATTTTGATAATTACGCGCGTATGCCTTTTTAGGATGTACTTGCAAGGCCACTACTGTCACCTTGTCCTTGAATGAGGTATCCCACCATGATGAAAAGCTAACATGATGTGGCTCAATCAATTACATGGGCAAACAACAAGTATCCAACACGTGTTCTGAATCTTTTCATTGCAGGTGTTGAAGATCCATGTCGGCTTGGCCCTGACGTCAGGATCCGCGTGGGGGTGCGTCCGCTGTCCAGAAAAGGAGAACGTATCAGGCAAACCGGCCAACAAATGAAACGACACAGCACACGCCCTTGAGCTTGAGTCCCTCCGCGATCTGCGCGATCTGCGCATGCTATATATGTGTCTATATATGTGCATGTGTGCGTTAGTATCGTATACACATACGTATATGAAAATTAAGGTATGCATGTGACATGTGTGTTTGCACGCTCACATGCGTGGATACACATGCACATGCCGACTCTTTTGGAATGATACTGGAGACAAACAAAACAATCATAATGTGTTTAGGGCTATCGGGCTATGGGGTTATAGGGCTATAGGGCCATAGGGCGGTTGGTCTATAGGGCTACAGGGCTATAGGACTATAGGCATATAGAGCTATAGGGCTACAGCGATGTAGAGGGCTATAGGGCTATAAATCTAGAGGGCTATAAGGCCATATGGCTATAGGGCTATAGGGCGATTGGGCGGTAGGGCTATAGGGCTATTAGGGCTATATGGCTATATGGCTATATGGCTATAGTGCTATAGAGCTATAGGGCTATAGGGCTATAATGCTATAGGGCTATAGGCCTATAGGGCTATTGGGCTATAGGGCTATATGGCGACAGAGCACCAGGGCACCCGGGCACCCAGGCACTCCCGGGCACATCCGGGCACCCCTGGGCCCTTCCAGGCACCCTTGGGCACCCGGACACCCGGGCACCCGGGCACCCGAGCACTTGGTCTGGCCACCGAAATCGACGACGAACTTGACCTAACTATATGAATTCGCTAGGACCCCTACAGAGGCAAGCTTTGATTGGGGAGTTGACCGACTGTCCGACCCAGAGATGGTGCACCTTCCTCAAATTATCGGGACGACCGACATGGGTACGGAAAGAATGGGTACAATGCCCAACAGCAGTTCTCGTTCATTTTGAACAGGGCTCGCTGTCCACGCCGCCGCGGCCTGTGCTTATTTGAGACAGAAGGTGCCCAACAGCGGCCGCTGTTGGTTTGGGACAACGTTTGTTGTTTGGCATTGTGCCCATTTTTCCGTGCCCATTTCGGGCGTCCAAGATCTATCCCCCCCGAAACCAGACTTCCAGGATCCGCCGTCCCCGCGGACCCTTCTAGACGGCCAGGACGCCTCGGCAGAGTGTTTGCTCGGCATCCGGGGCGTCTTAGTCGTCCTTACCAGGCTTAAGAGCAGACCGAAAGCGGCCAGGTGGGCGCCCAAGCGCCCCCGCCCACGAGCCCCCCAAGCGGCCCCAGAAACTTCCAAGACGCTCAAGAGGAGGGAATGGGGTTGGGCTCACCCCCAGTCCATCCTCTCCTCTTTCTCTTCCTTCCCGAGAAAAAAAAGGAAACACATGATTATGAACATGCGAATCTTTGCGCGGAGTCTTAGATCTGCGTTGGGGCCCGCCAGTGGCGCCTCCGGCGCCGCCACTGGCGCGCGCTCCGCGCGCCACGGACCAGCGTGGATCCACGAAATTCGCGCGGACCTCAAAAAGTGTATGCTTATATTGTTTCTTATTTTGCTATCCTCCCTCCTCCTCCCTCTTCCTCCTCCTCCTCCTCCTCCTCCTCCTCCTCCACCCGTACATCACCTGTCCTCGTTCTCTGCTCGTCTTCCTTCCTCCGCCTCCTTCCGTCCTCGCTCTTTAATGATTGCTTCTTTACATGGTGCTGTTGTGCGGCTTCTTTTGCTGTTAACCTTATGGGGGTGTTTCCAGCGCTCCCGAAAGCTTCCAGTCGCAAACAGTGCATGTGTAAGTTTATAATTGCGGCAGAAGTGGTTTGTTTGTGACGGCTCATCGAGAGTTGAGGAAGTTAGGTATGGGCGATGGAGGTGCAGATAACTTCAATTTAAGTTGCCGCACTTTGTTATCATTTGCTTGTGTTTGTCAGCGGCCAAGCATCCGAATAAATGCGGGTCAGGAGATTTGGCGTCACATCGGGCATCATGGCTGGGGTACCGTGCGAGGACACCCTTCAACTCTGCCGAGCACAATGGTGTATGCCTGGCTGTTGTGAAGTGAACGCCTGTGGTTGCCGCAGCAGCAGCGAGGTCGATTGCCGTCGATTCGAGTGCGCTGTGAGAGGAAGGATTGGATCCCCTCCCAGGCCCACTGCGTGCACGCCTGGGGCCCGCGGGTTCTGCCCGCCGCCTCCGTCGGCGTCCCGTTGGCTCCGTCGCGCCCTCCACCGGGGCCCAAAGAGTGTACACCACCACCGCGTCCATTCCTCCTCTCCCCTCCGTCCAGCGAGAGGGAGGGGGAGGGGAGGGAGATGGTGGTGGTGTATATGTGTTGGCCCCCCACCTCCACGCCCGCTCCCTCCCGCTCCCGCTGTCTTCTGCCAGCCGCCCCCTCTGCGGGCCCGTGCGCTTCTCTGCCCCAGGGCTGGACCCGAACGGTGTTTTTGGTGGTTTCGTGGGCCGTTTTCGTTTCGGCTTCGTGCTTTTGCGGGAAAGGCGGATCCGAGACGACGGCGGGGGACAACGAAAACGCAAAACGAGAACGTAAAACACCGTTTGGGTTCAGCCCTGCCTTGCCCTCCTCTCGCCCTCCCCTTGTGCCTCCCCTCCTCTCGCCCTCCTCTCGCCCTGCCCGGCCCCTCCTCTCGCCCTCCTCTCGCCCTCGGCCGGGCGCTCCGCTCCTCCCCTTTGTGCCTCCCCCGCCGTGCCTGGCTCCGCTCGCGCCTCTTCTCCCCCCCTTCCTGCGGCCCTCCTGCCTCGGCCTCCTCCTTTTGCCTCGCTCCGCCCGCCGCGCCTGGGCCATCCCGCTCGCCCCGCGCTGACGCCCCCATCTCCCCCCGTGTCCTCCTCCGCCCTCCCTCTCCGCCTCTGTCTCCCTCCTCGCGCCCCGCCCCGCGTAATGCTCTCCACTGTTCCCCATCCTCTGTCTGCCTCCATCTCCCCCCCGACTGTCTTTCTGGGCCCACTTCCTGTCGACAGACATGTATACGTTGCACGCACGCTTCCTCCGATTGATCGCCTTTCAGTTCTTCGCCGCCCCGAGTTCGCGCACCGGTCCCGCACACTGCTCTCACGCTTCTGCCGAGTACCTGCACTGCTTTGCGCCTGTGCGATTGAACCAGGAGGCCCTCCCTGACATCGACAGGAAGACCAAGATCCTCGGAGTGATCAAGGCGTCGCGTAAGCGATGAGGGCGCGAGATAAGAGCACCAGACGTCATGAGCGAGAAAGGAGTCAGGGTGTTGCTTTCCACGTCTTACTGAAGATTGCTTCTGATCGCCAGCGAGTGTTGGCTGGTGCGCCACCTCTCCTGCTTAACTGGTGCAGGTAGTTGCTATGATACCCTGCCGTTTTTGTTTGATGCTGGACGATTGGAAGAGAGAGAGAGAGAGAGAGAGAGAGAGATGGCAAAGAGGCGGATATCGGACGGGGTGAGGACGAGGGATCTGTTCCAGAGCGTTCTGGAGCGCTCCGAGGAGGCCGCGACGCCCGATACGTCCTCCGGAGCCGCCGGATCTCATACATCTTCTCGATCTATACCAACCCCAATGTGTCCTCGTCCTGGCTTCGTCGCCGGGGGTGCCCGAAGTCGACCCCGATTCTCAGGGGCAACGATAGGGGGGGGGTGAGCACACCCAGAGATCCGAGGATATGTTTTTTTTCAATCTGGAGGTTTTTCCTGGATTTCGACCTCCGGGGCCAGTGTCGGGCCCGGGGACCATCCAAAATTGATCCGGGACGAAAACTTTAAGGGTAGCTCTTTGGGAGATGTTATATAGGATCGGGAGTATAGCTCGCGCGCCGTTGCCTTTGGCTCAAGGCACGCGCGCCCTATTTGCCCGGACACTGCTTGTGTTCGCTACGTGCTGGAAAGATCACTACATCGATCTTATCCTATCTCATCCGTCCATTTCTCTTACTGAACCACCTCAGTACGATGCCGGACGCTATTTGCCATCCGCTTCCCATGGAATCGGATTCTATTTGGCTTACCATAGTCACTTCAGACTTGGTAGCGGAGCTGGCCGCACTCTCGTGTGGTCAGCTCTTGCTCTTCTTATCCTCACGCTATCCGGCATGATCTTAGTGACCAACTACCACCCTGCGCCACCACTCCAACTACATTTACGATGATCAATTCAAGAGCAAGAAACAACACGAGAGGTACGACGTCTAGGCAACAACATTGGTACCATATACGCTTCATCACTGCGCTACTACCAACCGCTCGGCAACGAGCCAAAAGCGCAGTACTTGAAGCAGAGGCGAGGAGACCCGCAAGATAAAGCGCCTCGAAGACTTGACAAGGCGCTACCCCAGCGCGGCAACGCGCCGGATAACCACCCATATCTTCACAGCCTTGGGCTGGTTATCTTCGCCATCGTATGGTTTGCGCTGGGGGCGGCAATCGGACACATGCGCCGAGGAGATAATAGCACAGATGGGCAAACACATGGCCCATATTGGGGCCCTCAAGGCAACGCACCTTTTCGCGAATACGTGTATGAGGTCAGCGCGTGGCTAAACGTCACAAGCGGACGCATGACGCCACAAGCCCAAGCAGCCGCCATACAACGCGGCCTGGGTGGCCTAGCGAGGACACTCGCCATGAGGGCACCGCCTGACATTATAAATTATGGTGCGGACATCGATGGTGTCCACACCGACCCAGTAACATACACTATGTTCCTCTTAAGCATGAAGTTCGAACGCTTGGAAGATGAGCGCCAGCTCACTTCAGGCACACATCTCATCGACTTTCATGTGCCTCACGGAAAACGAATCGATACAACTCTCACTCAGTCGGTGGGGCTTGACCTTCCCAATTTCCAACTGCTTACTACCATCCTATTCCGCGCCCTCGGCGTCGGCAGCCAGAGAGCTATGCAACTCTTGCAGCCACTCAACCACCAAATGCCCCGAACACAACAATAATATGAGGAGTTGCTCGAGAGGATGCGCTCGATAGGCCATTTGTCAGAACGGTCTCCTGGTAGCATAGGGTCAGTGTTTGGAAGAGGAAGAGGGACTGGTAGTGGAAACTTTTACACTACCTTAACCACCGAAGCTCAGCCTGGCAACGGGCCCTCAATCATATGGGCCGACGATCCTGGTGAGTCTACCGCCCTACTAACAGGGGATCGATTACAACCAAGCTGGGCAACCAGCCCCCCTCCTAGAAAACCTCAACCACACCGTTCTTTATGGGGTGAAGCAAACCCCCTAAACGACGGTGTATCCACCTACCTGGGAGACGACGATTTCGACTCCGGCACCGACACCGATACCATATCATCAGACGGTGTTGAACCTTTAGACTGGTGAGATATCATGCATATGGAAGGTGACAATCAGCGTGCCGAACACCTGTTCTGGTTATTACAACAGGCAAAACGGAGGTGGAGGAGGTTCACACGAAAACCGGTGCGTCGTGTTAGGAGGAGGATACGGAGGAGCTTCAAGGGAAAAGGTAAAGGCAAACGGGGTCGCCGTAGGTTGAGTGGACGAGGCATCACGGCCTTTTTCCAGAGGCTCTCAGATGACCAGTATGACGAGATATTTTTCGGGGGGAAAGGCCGTGGTAAAGGCCGTAGAGATACCTCAGGCAAAGGCAAAGGTAGGCGGGGAAACCCGCGAGGTTGAGACCGCCAGATCCTAAAGTGCCATGAGTGTGACAGTACCGATCATCTTGTAAAAGATTGTCCAGCGAAGGGAAATGGAACGGGCAGATCGACCGAAACCCATTTCGGCTCAAGTGAACCAGTTTTTGAATATCTGAGCCTCCAATATTTTGAGGCCATGGAACAGATATTTTACACTTGGGTCAGCTGCGTGGACAACTTGGATGAGCCCAAGGCGTGCGGCCACGGACTGTACGCGTACTGCCTCGAGTACCTCCGCAGGTTCGTTGTCGGTAATAACGAGCTTACGCCTGTGGAACGTGGAACGCTGGGAAACCAGCCTTTATCCTTCTTTGACCGGATGTTCGGTAACCCAGGCAACATCATGGCCTACGAGAGCAGTGACGAAGATGACACTGTTCAAGCCTCGCCTTCGGAGTCTGATCGCAACCTTCAACCTCAACCCGACCTTATGCCTGGAAACAGGCCTACTCTTTTATATCCTCCAAACTATGCTGATCTGATGGGGCTAGAGTCTCAAGCGTTCGTGACGGGCGTGCCAGGGGACCCATTTATACCACCTGGCTCGCTTGCCCCAGGCGAGTACGGACCGCACGCGCTACTGCAGACCCTCATGAAGATGCACGCTGTATTGGTCGTAGCATATCACGAGAGTCAAGAGAGTGTCGAAGCTGGCCGCATGATGCTACAAGACACTGATGCCTGTGACGACTCGGAGTTAGTGCTGGCGGCCCTCACTCTTATTGAAAGCGTGCACCCTGAGGACGCGCAGCGGCATGTGTGTGGTATTCCAGAGGGAGGTGGCGCCAAGCCCTTGAAAGGGCCATCTCCATGCGTGGTCAGGCTCTTCCCCCGCCAGGATGGGGCCTCCAGGCGGCGGGATCACGGCCTAACCATACGGCCATGCGGAATATTGTCGGGCAGCCTGCGCTCGGTAACGAGCCTGAGCCGACTACCGTACCGCCTACGCCGGGACAGCCAAGCGATGCTCAGACGCTGGCACCGCAGGTAAACCTGCCCGTCCCGGCTGAACCGATGACCGTCGTCATCGGCAATCCTATGTCAGAAGAAGAAGAGGGCGATGGATGTGGGATGTGCGAGGACGAGACCACAATCTTCATGATGGAGGTCAATGGTGAAGAGGAGGTGGATTTCAGTCCCGACATACCTGATACACCACCACCAGCACAAGAGCCAATTGTGCCGGGCCCCAGTCAGCAGGGAGACCTGCCCGCTCAAGATGCACCGCCTGCGGCCCAGCCGGAACCTCTGCCGATTCCTGCTCAGGCTGCGTCAGCGGCTTCATCTGATGAGCACGCCAGGAGGTCTCCCCCGCGAATGGAGGCAAGCAGGCCCAAAGGAACATGCCGCTCGGCGGGGGGGTCAATTGCTAGCCTACAATGGCCCTAGGCGTCAGAAGGGTGAACATTCTGCTTTCGGAAAAGGCAACCCAGCCTACAGAGATGCCCAAGGCAAGTCCATACGAGGTGGCTACCAGCTCGCGACGAATATTCGTCGTCCTGAAATAGAGGAAGTACGGACGCGGCTGCGAAATGTCATTGCAGATCGCAAACAATACAGACCCAACGCAGTTTGTGGGCCGTGCTCAGAGCCACTTCAGGAGCATAGGCCTGGGTGCCATGTGGGGCTCAATGAGAGCTTGAGCCCGAATAGAGGCCGCACTCCTGCCAAGGAGAGTCATCCACCGTTGGTTCCGATGACTCAAGCAGAGATCGACGAGATCAGCCGACGTCTCGGAACCACGGCCCATAGGAGACCTGTGGCCGAGGAGCTTCAGCCTCCGAGAGGACTGGTGCCTATGACCCAGGAAGAAAAAGACGCGCTCTATCGCCTTCCTGGAATGCGAGGAAACTCGCCAGGCGTCTCCAGTCAGGCTCAACAGCCAGAAATGATGAATGACGATGAACAGAGGGCCCAGCGAGCCGCAGCAGATGCGGAGCGCAAACGAATAGCAGAGGAACGCACCCGCGAGGCAACTTGCCAACTGCTGCTGGAGCCCCAAAAGATCTATATGAAGGGGACAAAGAAGCCCCCACTCCAACCGAAGGCCAAGAGCGAAACACCGGCACCTAGGACGCCTTCGGGGGAGAGACCGAAAACGTCAGCTCGCTCTGAGGAGCTTGGGTTAGATGTGCAGATGGAGATGCCTCGTTCTAAAACGCCGAGATCACCGACTAGAGCAACTCCGGCACAGAGACCCGACCCTAGGCAACAACCTCAGGACTCTGTGGAGGTTCGTAGACGCCCACCTAGCCGTAGCGGATCTATCGCCGGCAAGGCCAAGGCTTTCGACCGTGCAGGGTTTACCCCTACGCCGGCCGCGCCTGCGGCGGCGCGCTCAAAGAGGTCCGAGGAAGGTGCTCTGTCTAGGGGTACCTGGGTGCCTAAGATCAGGGGCAGCGCCGGCCGAGGCAGCCGAGAAACGCCGCGGGGAAACCCGCCAGGCACTGCAGCTGCAGCTTCCTCTTCCTCAGGAGCCGCAGCCTCTTCGGTGACAGAGGCTCCTTTGC